TGGTGCTGAGGAATCGAACCCAGGGCCTCATGCATGCAAGGCAAGCGCTCTACCACTGAGCCACCTTCCCAGCCCCCAAAGTTTCTTAAGACAGCTGTACCTCTCCAATTTTTGATGCTCTACGGAGAAAGTGCAGGGGTAGAGGGCGGCCCAGACCAAAATTCAAAGCTCTTAGAATCTTCATTTCCGTCTGTCTGATTTGGTGCTTAGTGTAAGTGTTGTTAGTTACAAAAGCAAAGTCACCAATTTCTGGAGGATACATTTCTTCATATTTACTTGCAATAAACATGGCAGTGACACCAACCAGCTGCAGCATTTTCTTGGGCACACTATTATTCTGTAACAGGAGTTTCAGTTGGATGAATAATATGTACTTGAAAAGGAGACACAGGACTACAAAGGAGACATAGGTGAAATAGTTGCACAGCAGAATCTCAAATCAATGACATCTAATTTCCTTACACAAGTGTATCTTTTCTTTTGTCAGTCACAGGGTCTGAACTCTGGGCCTGGGCGCTGTCCCTCAGCTCAAGGCGAGTGCTCTACCACTTGAGCCATACCACCACTTCTGCTTAAGTGGTGCTGAGCAATTGAACCTAGGGCCTCATGCATGCAAAGTAAGCACTCTACCACTGAGTCACCTTCCCAGCCCCCACAAGTGTATCTTGACTCATCTAGGATCCAGGAATGAATCACCAAATTATGTCTTACCTGCATGAACCTATCAATAACGGAAACGGTCATGTACATAGTCTCTTGCAGCAACCGGAATTTCATTTGAACCTGCACTAGCCAGTCAATTAAGATGGCTCTCATGTTTGCAGTGACTTCCCGACCTAGCAGGTATTTTGGTCTGACAGACTGTTCTTCCTGAAAAAGAAAATGCCAACTGTCTTTAGAAACATGACCCAGTGTCCAGAAAGGGCATTTTTACTTAAAAAATTTTTTTGTTGGTTGTGAGGATTGAATTCAGAGCCTGGGCATTGTTTCTAAACCTCTTTTTGCTCAAGGCTAGCACTCTACCATTTGAGCCATAGTGCCACTTCCAGTTTTTGAGTGGGTAATTGGAGAGTCTCATGGGGACTTTTCTGACCAGGCTGGCCTTGAACTGCAATCCTCAGCTTCCTAAGTAATGAGGATTACAGGCAGGAGCTACAGGTTCCTGGCTTAAAAAGGAAATTTTTATAGAATAGTTCTGGGTATTAAGAGTTTGAAATAAGGGCTGGGAAGGTGGCT